GATTGTTGGAGGATTGGTGGGACATGGCAGCCCTGGAAAAGAATTAAAAGAAGTGACCAGAGAACCACTCAGAACCTTCTGCTCATCGAGCCATTGCAAAGACCTAGACCTCAGAGACAGGCCTTGGAGCTGGACATTTTCCAGCAATTGCCATGGCGGCAGCTGAGCGCCCACTTTGCGGGCTCCAGCAGCCATTTTGAACCAATCAGTAGCCAGCAGCAACGGAAAGTTGACTGCAGAAACCCATGAATGACCACGGGCAACTCCAAAGAATTAACTTGGGATTTATTTCTTTTCCAAACCAACCTGTACACAAAATCTATTCCACCATGGTGCCCACAAAAGAATCAACTCAGGATTTAATTCTTTTTGAAGGGACCCAAATAGCAATAAAGTACCACATTGGGTAGGGGGGCACATAAAAAGAATTAAATCCTGAGTTGATTCTTCTACAATAGGGATGGTACCAAGAATTAACTTGGGAGTTAAGACTTCTCAGGGGGTAGCTGATAGGTACCAAAAGATATAGAATTAACCCAGGAGTTGAGAATATTCAACTCGGGTATTCACTCCTTTTCCCATCGCTATCAGTTATACCAGGGACCTTCTTGCTTCACGCCTCTGGCACTAGCTCTGGGCGGGACAGACAGCGCTGTGCACATCGCACACTTCCAAGATGTAGCCTGAGCGCACATTTCGGGACAAACACATGTGGAACGAATTGCAAGATGTCCTAAAATGATATAACGTGTCTATATCTTTCTATTTTGCTGTACAAGGTCTGTGCCGTCACTGCTTGGAGGCACACTCGCCAGAATCAATGCTGACGCTGACGCAGGCTTGTTTGACCCCAGGACTGATTCCCACCTGTGTAGGAGCAGCCGCTCTGTGACATATTGAAACGGGAAACTTCTTGCGACCTCTGTGAGAAGCTTTTCCCCCGCGGATCGTTGCTCAGGTGGAAGAAACTTGAAGCGTGCCGAGAAGGCTCTGTCCTTTGCTGCGACATACTGGTGGGTGACATTCTTTTCCTTGTGTCTTCAACATGGGCAAAACACTGCTGAGTACATGCACGAGCGCACCAGCAAGATCATCACGACTTAATGCCAAGTGCCTTACTGCGCGTGAAAAGAATGATGCTCTGAACAAGTGGCGTGTTTTTTGGCATTCAACATGTCCATGGCCTCTCAAGTTAAGCTCGAGGCCTTGCTGCTCGTAGCAAGGCCCTTAGGCCTCGAATGCTAGCGCAAAGCGAAGCTCTCCAAATAGGCTACCAGTGACCACCATGCAGCTGGGGCACTGAGGCGCAAAGGCTTTAGTTCAGCGTTTTTATCCACTGCAGTTTTTGCTGCTTCACCTCAGGCTCGCGTCAAATCCCGATAGGCTGCACCCAAGGTAGTTGTGTTGTCACGTCTGTTGGAATCATGAACCGAGCATTCGACTAAAGGCCAAGAGTTTCTCGATGCTTTGCTTTCCCTGACTCAGATACTGTAGATTCTTCGCAAATGACACCTCTGGGGCCTGTGGTAAATGCATCTATATAAATGCGTTGTTCAAGCAAATCTCTTCACCAAAACATCGCTTGCACACCTATTCCAAAATTTTAAGACAGAACAAGGCAGAATAGCTTTGAAAGCAAGCATATTGTTCAGCTGCAGCGATTCCATACGATTCTGTGGTTGAACAGTGCCAGTACTTAACCAAAGTATCCTTTCGTACCACCAGCCACTGCCAAGGGTCTGGTTGGCCCTTGCCCAACCAGGCTCTGGCACCCCCGAATCTGTATCCTAGAGAGGAGCACCTCACCTGGGCATCGGTATCATCGACAGCAGCAATTTGGTGAGCCAGTCTTCGCCTAAAAGAAAAGAACGACACTCTTCGCCTAAAAGAAAAGAACGACACGTCGTCGTACACTGAAAAGTACAACCTGTACACGAATAAAACATAACTTCCTGGCTTATGTCATTCCGAGGGCAAAGGTGCAAACCATTTGTGTATGGCTGCTGCTAGCTTCCACTCAAATCAACAACGCGTAAAAGTACCTTCGTTTGTCTCAAGCTGGATGCTGAGATCGGTTCTGCTCAATGACAGGAAGGTCTGAAACGACATGAAAGTGGAAGAGTGTTGCCACCTTGTGAAATCGCATGTCTGACTACTCATGATCAGCCATTTCCGACGTGAAGGGTGCCGCAAGGCCTCACTGTCAATCCAATTTCGTGATGGGCCAGTTTGAGCAGACCTTCCAGTTCGCAAAGTCAAAACAGCATGAGAGGATCAAGTGCTCAAATCATTTCAACTCAGAGTTCAGCTCAGGTGTATCGCCGCACACTATCACTCGAAAAGCATGGTGAACCTCGAGCAGTGAATTCATGAACATAACAGGTCCCACAATGGTCACAATGCACAACGGCACAAGCATGCACAACGTATCTTTAAGAGACATGGTGGAATCCGAAAGCACCTGCCGTGCACCCGCTTCACGGAGGGCTGCTTCCACCTCTTTACCTCTCATTGAATCTGCGATTGAGATCGATTTGGAACTCATTCGGTTTGCCCGGCCTTTCTTGACCAATGTTTCCCAGTGATTTGGAGAACAAAGCAGCCTCAGTGTAGCCCCACCAATTTCGGAACATTCTGCAACACAGCATTGAACTGTTGCACTGAATCATACTGAATCCATGTGGAGGTTTCGTTCATCTGGCTTCTTTGCAGCTTCTGTGCAGTATTTTGCCATGCCGGTGAGCAACGTTCCATCTGGCAGGATGCAAGATCGATCGGCCAGTAAAGGTCCCAGAGTGGCATAAAGGTTTCCCTGCGGAAACAAGAATAATGAAATCAGCTATGAATGACATCACAAGAAGAAACATCTTACCTTTGTGACTTGGAACTCTCACTATTCAGCACCAACGCATGTGCAATCTTTTTCAATCTTTTACAATGCACTCGACCACCCCTCTTCCTTGGACAAACGGTGCACACCATCCAGAACGGCCAAATCGCCATAAATAGCCGCCTGGGTTGAATATGAAGTGATCTCAAAACATCCCACCCTTTTGTTTCCTTGCCTGCACCACCGGCGAATCTGCCCATCCAGTGTTTCCCCAGGGATCTGTCCTCTGTCTTTGCTTCAGCAGCTTGGCCAGCGAAAAACGCCAAGCTGGGACGCCACTGGACTCTGTTAACACCACGAAGCAAAGGTTTGGACGTTCGACGCTGGAGAAGGTCTCTGGAGCTCATGTCGCGGTAGCAAAACAAGTTGCGTGTCCTGGAAGAGCAGGGCTGTTTTGAAAAATAACACCTGAAACAATGAGAAGTTACCAAAAATGTTTGCTTCAGTCAATTTCTCCGTGTATGCACCGAAGGACTCAGTCCATGCGTCGTGCATGATTGATCTATGAAGACTTACGCAGTGTATATACATATATATATATATATCTCCAGACGGGTTTACTTAAGAATGTGAGTGTTTTAACCTCACGTGTACTTTCATAAGTCATTCCGCGTATTTTGGATAGTCCCTCTTCGGAATTTGTCGCTGCAAATACGCGTATTTAACGCATGTTTTTGTCGGTCGATGTAAAACACACTGTAATTACGACTTCAGAACTGCTCCAGGATTCTGAGGGTTTTGGTCAGATGATGTCGGATGGCACGTTAATAACGTTAACGTTCTGTTCAATTTGCACACCCATACAGAAGAAAACCGTCTACGCTACGCTATGTACACAGTGCGAGTGACCGAGGGTGGGGTGGCGTGGGTTGGGATGTTAACCTTCGGTTCAATTTGCACACCTAACGTTACACAATGCGACGCGCGCGGGATGGTAACGAATTGCACACCCATACAAAGGAAACTCTGCGCTCTGCACACCAATATCTGTACGCAACACACCAATATGTATACTAATATGGAGATATAGTTTGCTTTTATACAGACGTCTTTTTTTGCTATTTGTCTTCCTTCAAAAGCCGTAAAAAACAACGTTTAAACACGTTGCGTTTTTCGCAAATGTGTCACAGTCTTAAGTAAGCCCGTGAGGATGTATATGTATATATATTTATATTTATGTTTAACTTATATCTATATTTATATACCTGAGAAGGGGGGGGGGCGAAAGCCAGCAGCCGCCAGACGAGTGTCTCTTTTTCTGGCGGGCATCGCGGCGCAAGACACATGGTCGGCAGCTTGCGAGTCAGCGGTGCCGCGGACGCGGGAGCGTATGAATGGTGATGGAGGGAGCAGAGAAACAAGCCGGGCGGCTTTGGGATACGTTTGGTATAAAAGAAGTAGTGAAAGAGATACGCGATACGTTGTATGTTGGTGTAGGTCATCATCACAAGGCAATGGCATGTGTTTGTCACACGCAGGAAGGTATGCATCTAATGGAAGTTGGAAGGCGACATCAGCGTTAGCGAAGGGGAAATGCCGTCTGAGGTCGAGCGGCGGGATACGAAGTCCTTCTCCATAGTCAGCGCCGCCGCGCGCGAGTACGGCGTGCGTTTGAAAAGAAGCAGTTATGTGGTTGTTACATTTGGAGCGTTTGAAGTTTGCAATGCATACTGCGGCGCGTCGAAAAGCGGCGTTTGTTGATTTGGAAGAGTGAACGGGCGCGTCTAAGCTGGGACACAGACGTTTGATCCCGCGGCGCAGAAGGGGAGGTCCAGCAAGGGTAGGTGGGCTAGCAAAGGAGTGAGGATTTGTGTGCCTATCGATGCACATGCCTGGACTTGAGTGAGTCATGTTCTGGCTCGATCCAAAACACAGTCTTTTTCCTTTAAAGGGGCCTTTATTAAACGATCCAAACACATTCTTTATTCTTCTCTTTCTTATCAACTCTGCGCCTTTCTCACTCAGAGGCCTTGACTTTGGCACCTGCGCGTGTAGATCTTTGGGCCGTGGACCCAGGCTGACTGGATTCGGCCAGGGCTGCCAGCAAAAAGGCGACGTCGCGAGTCAGTTGTATATAGAACTTGTCTATCTATCTATCTATCTATCTGGACCGGCAAGCCGGAAAACGTCTTTCGCTGCGTATGGACGCACGAGAAGCATCCACTCGACCGAGGACATGGTGCAAGTATAGTTTTTGCGAACCCTATGCGGATATGTATAGTGAACTTCCGAAAGATAGAATATTTTTCATTCGTAAAATTACGATTGACAAATATTCCATCTTGTTACCATCCCAGAGGTGGGTTAAGAGATAGAATATCTGGTTGTGTTTGTTTGCTGGTTCGCTCGTGGTTTGTTTGTTGTGTTTTTTGTTGGTTTGCCTCCACATTCCCATCACATTGCGCAGGGTCAAGATTGACCGACCATTGATCATTGGGGTAACAGTAAGGGAAAAAGATTGCGGCAGTCGGCAGCATGTCGGTCTTTTCTCATTCTTCTCTTGATTCATTCTCGGTCTTGAGTCTTGATTATTCCATCTCTTGATTGGTTGTTTCTTGATTATTCCATCTCTTTATTGCCCTCAGGGTGTCTGAGATTATTCCATCTCTTTGTCATTCGCAAAACAATATTCCATCTTTCAGGATTTCACTATAGTCAACCTCGCAGGCGCCCCCACCGAAACTCAATCCAAATTCATGGACTTGAACTCATGTCACTGTCGGTTCTCTATGGACTTCGCAAGTTACGGGTTGTCCTGGGAACTCGTGTCCTACATGCGGCTGCGGTCTGCTCTGTACGTGGGTCACTGTCTCCACTCGATTACTCAATGCCCATTGTCCTAATGATGCACTACTCGGCGTCCATTACATCACTCGCATCACCAGACCCCGTTTTCACTGCTTTTCTGACCCTCGCTTTGGAGCGCTCTCCCCCACCAAGCTCTGGGTTCACCCTATCAAAAGGTCCTCCTCAGCAACCACCCCCACACCCCCTTACTCACTTCGTTCGCTCTAAAAGCTCAAGCCTAGCCTATCGGCTGGCTTTCGTAATATTTATATATACACATATAATAGATTATACCAGTACAAGATTATAAACCAGTATCAAGCAAGACCAAGGACCAAGACCAAGTCTTTCTTCAGGCCTGTAGCCCAATATTGATGCGAATGCCTTGACCTTTGCTCTCGCGCAACATGCGCCAAGTTTCTACGTGTTTCTACAAGCTTCACAAGTCGCTGAGGTTCACACCACAGTCGATTTTCCGGAGCCCTTGTCCCCAACCAGCGCGATGTCCTAGAGAGTGCAGTTTCTGCAAGGGAGCAATAAGTCTAAAAATCTCAAGCACAGTTAAGTTGCAGTACTCTAAGATACTCGAAGTCTAAGTCATGTTATGATTCTGATGGGTTGCAGTCCGCGCCAGCTGCATGGTCCATGAGGATCTCAGACAGAAGGGCAGCTTGTGACCTGGAAGCATTCGAGATTGCCCACGGGATCAAGGAAGTCTTGGTGATGTCATACAGCGTCGCCAGTGATCGCTAAACAAGCAAAACTCTTCAGAAGTTCCAGGCCTTGTAAGTAGCACATTGCCAATATGCCTGCGACCAACAAGAGAAGTGGTCCAATGGTCACACCTGGCCTCACCTTCTGCAACCCTATTGATTCTGTGATTGAGAAACAACCACTCCGCTTCAAGTTTCGACAGGTGCACAAATCGAAAGTGTACCCTTGACCTTGTTTGGCTCAAGTTCGGAAAAGCCCGACGTGCTGGGCACCCCATGTCATAACCACAGGTTATGAGCCCAAGGTGACCTTTTTCTTTTTCCAAGTCCACCTCCTTCCGCTTCGTGGGCGGAGGAGTGCTGGTCCCCATGGATCAACGGCGGCGACGCCAACAGAGGTCGCGAGAGCGGAAGGAAGCAGCTGCCCCGCAGGTGGAAGTTGGAGCGGCAGATCGCCGGCTGGATGCCTTGATCGAGGAAGAGATGAAGGCGAAGGCGGCGAGGGCGCAATGAGTGCCGGTGGGAGCAGCTGAGGTGAAGCGGCTGGGTGTGGCTGCTGGCGCTGGTTCTGGCCATGGAGGCCCTGCACGGGGGGCTGCATCGAGCGGCCACCAAGGACAACATGAAGTTCGACAGCTGTTGAATGACCCAAGAGGCCAGGCTATGGGACTTGGGCGTGTGCAGGAGGCAGTTCGGCAGTCATTTGAAGCGTTGCAACCTTCAAAGGCCAAGTTCCCAGCCGACCCTACTTGATCCTCTTCTTCGGCCCGGCGATCAGGGAGGTCATGCCGGCACCGGATTCGGAGTTCATCCAGGGCACGGGCTGGCGGCGGGCACTCCTTCGCGGCTACCACTCCGGTGGGACTGCTGGGGACGGTGAATCCCTTTTGAAGTGCTTCGGTACAGCAAGCAGCGCCGGGTATCTGAAGCTGCAAGTGGCCCACATCCTGCGCCGAGTCCAGGCGTGGGAAATATTGAACGTCTTCGAGAACGCATCTTGAGGGAGGCCGAGGAGACCTTCGCTCGGGAGGTGAAGAAGATGACGGATGCTGGAGATTCGGCCTCGTTTACTTCGGTGCCGAGTGCAAAGGCTGAGGGACAGCGAGAACCAATTGGGGAGCTTACAAAGCTTGGAGGACAACCTGACACTCCTCCTGGTCTTGCTCCTGTACATGATCCTCGAGGTCGTGGAAATGGATTGAATGGGGCGGTGAATATGATGAAGCCGCTAGACTCAGTGACAGCTGCACTGCCTGAGGCAATGCGAAATTTGGAACTACCACCACTACCAGCACCTTCGACAGAGAACGCGGCCCTACTTTTTGGAGACTGGCTGACGGTGATTACTCCTTTGACCTCAGCAGGGAGTTTTGGGATTGGGTGCAACGGGAGGTGGAGGTGAAGTACAATGAATGGCTTTTGGCATCTTTTGGCGACACCATTGGGTCGGTTGAGAATCAAGGTTGAAGAGCAAGTGTCTCCACGGTTTCAACGTTGGATCAGCGTGCAAGCTCAACATTGTTGGCAGCGCTTCCGGAGCCGGTGAGAAAGGACATTGTCGCAAGTCGGAGGGTGGCTACTCAGGCTATCTTGTACAAGCTCTTCACCATCTACCAGGCTGGTGGGAATGCAGAAAGGGGCAATTAATTGCTGCGCAGCCTGACTGAGGTGAAGTGTGGCAGCTCCAGGACACTTTGAGCGCTATTCGAACGTGGCGCAGGTGGATTTGTCGAGCTGAAGAGTTGCATGTGGGTATCCCAGACTCAATGGTCTTGATTCAGGCCCTGTCCAAGGTTGCGGAGAACCTCACGAAGCATGGAGGAAGTCAAGTGGGATTCCGAATTGCAGCTGCTTGGCAGGAACTTGAGGTTGATCGGAGGCCCACGCTGATTACCACCAAGGAGTTTGCAGAGTTCCTACAAGCGGAGGCGGAAGATTTGGCGTTGACTACGCCTCAACCGTCGTCTACGAAGACTACCAGTGCGGTGGCAGGGACACAGCCTATTGCAGGAGCTCAGCCAACGATTAAGGCCTTGGGAGGGGGCCACCAAAGTCAAAACAGGCATGCCGCTACTGGGGGACTACGGCTGGATGCAAGCATGGTGAGTCTTGCACCTTCGCCCACTCTTGGGAGGGCATCAACAAGTCAGATAGGTGTTTTCATTGCTCCGGGGAGAACCACTTCGCTGGAAAGAAGACGGCCAAGCTGAAGGGGAGTGGAAAGGCTCAGGCGGAGAAGGAGGAGACCAGCAGGCCGGGCGAGTCGGAAAGCAAGGAACTACCTCTTTGATGAGCTCTACGTCCACGTCTACCAGGCCGGCGCCAAGTGGTGGGGAAAAAGGACGGGATGGTGGAGTAGAACCGGTCAAGAAAGGTGATCCTGCATCGGAGCTGATCACGGAGGCTACATCCTACAGCTAGCGCTACTGGATGGTGGAGCTACTCACCCGCTAAGGATGGCCCGACCGGAGGAGCGGGGGACATTGCAGCCGATCACGGTGGAGTTGGCCCACAGATGTACGACGTTGTACCGACATCCAGACTTTGACACCCTATTGGCACTGGAGCGGGTGGAGCCGATTTTGCCACTACATTTGCTGGTGGAGAAGGGGTACGCCATCCACTGGACTGGGCAGGGCTGCACGATCATGCACCAGCAGCTGGGAGCTGTGAAGTGTTGGTTGAGGTCGGGATGCCCGGTCATGAACAGGAAGGATGCTATGGTGATGTTGGCAGAGTTTGAGGAGAACCAGAAGGCTCGAAAGAAGCTGACTCAAGAGGATTGGAATTGGTGGCGCCGCATCATGCCGGACGTGCCGGAGGACGTGCTGGAGATGATGGTGGGTTCTCAAATGAGCCGAACCTTGAGTTGCTACCTTGGAATAGACGCCAGAGGCGTCGGCACCGACGAAGCAAGGGCTTGGTGATTCGCCTTTTCTCTGGAGCTGATACAGGGAGGTGGAAGGGCGCCTTGCCAGATGACATGGATTGGATCTTCCTGGATTTGCAGTTGGGGGATGGCTTCAACATGCATAATGTGAACGTGTGGAGCTATGTTTGCTCGCTGGCTCGATCTGGGAGGGTGAAGGCAATTGTTGGAGGTCCGCCCTGCCGTACCACAAGCAGATTGAGGTGCAAGGGGCCCCCAGCACCAAGGAGGGTGAGAGGCCGCGGCTCTGATCGTTGGGGATTGGAGGGGCTGACCGCTCGTGAGCGTGAACAGGTGCGGGGCGATTCCGCCCTGGTGGTGCAGCAGGTGGGTTTATGGCATTTGCGGATGAACATCGTGAAGGAGCATTTCTTTTGGAATCTCCGAACTGAAGCAGGACAGGAGCATCCATCTTTCTTCGAGTGGCCCTTGTTGAAGAGAATGGTTGAGGAGTATGGAATGAGCATGGCGAGCTTCGATCAAGGGAGAACGGGGCATTCCAGGCGAAAACCTACGAGTCTGCTTACCAACCTTCGTCACCTGGAGGACCTGGATGGGCTCAGGGAGGAGGATCGGCGGACCCGTGGGCATGATGGTCGGATGGTCTGGTGAAGGCCATTGGATTCGCCTTGAACCTCCGGTTTGGGGGGAGGGCTCCTGCTGGCTTGGCCAAGATGGATGTGGAGGAGTGGAAGAGACACATCAACCAGGAGCATGTTCCGTACAGGAGGGACTGTCGGGATTGTGTGGAAGCGATGGGATTCTCAAGCCCACATCCAAGATCAAAGAACGCCTCTTCAGCCTTTGTGATGGCGGTGGACATCATGGGTCCGTTCGAGCAGGGCCGAGATCTTGGGTTGAACCAGTGGTGCAAGTATGTGATGGTGGCGACGATCCCGGTGCCTATTGCGAAGGACTTGGCCGGGGCGCCAGAGGAACCGCTGGATCATGAGGCTGAGGTCAAGGATGCGGTGGAAATTGAGGAAGAGAAGGAAGAGGTGGAGCTGGCTTCGGAGGAGCAGGTGGCTGAGTTGAACATGAAGGCAGCGCTGGAGCGAGCTCAGGAGGAGGTTCCTCTTCAGAACCTCACGATTGCAGAGCCAATGCAATCTCGAGCGGTGGAGGACATCGTGCAGGCGCTCTCCAAGATCCATGCTCACTACAGGATGTTGGGGGTAGGGCCATGCAGGCTGCGCTCAGACAGGGAGAAGTCCTTCCTCACGAAGGCGGTTGCCCGGTGGGTCCAGGCTCGGGAGATGGTTCACACAATGACTTCGGGTGATGACAGCCAGTCAAATGGCAGAGTGGAGGCGGAGCTGCTGCGGCTCAAACGAAGGATGAGGCGCCTTCTACACACGAGTAAGGTGGAGGCTTCACTATGGCCATGCGCCTTGAGGCACGCAGCCGCTCAACGACTTCGCCTACAACTTCAAAGGTTGGGAGTGGGATCGAAGCCGATGGTCAATTTTGGGTCGATGGTCATGGCCAAATCCAAGAGATGGCATCACAAGACAGGGGAGCTGACCAACCCTTTCAAAAGAGTGCAGGTGCTAGGCCCAAGCCCGTTGATGTCGTCAGGTTGGGTGGCCAAAGACAAGCAGAATAGAATCCAGCATCTTCGAACAGTGGTGACTCCATCAAAAACACTTGAGGCGATGTTGGAACTGCAGGAGGTTGACCTCAAGGACAAGGGCATCAAACATCGGTTGGTGGGAAAACAGCCCATCGATCCCCATCCACTGAAGGACGCAGTGTCTCGGCATTTTGACGCAGGAGTTGCAGCCGGACAACCAGCTCTTCGAGTACTACAAGCTGGGGGGGAGACAGACCCAACGGGTAATCCAATTTTTGGATGCAGGGGTACCTACTCCATTGAATTCGCTGTCGGTATGGCAACCTGGGGAGGATGTGAACGACCTGGGGGAGTCCATTGATCAACCCATGGAGCTAATGGAAGGGGGAGATCGTGAAGGAGACACGGAGGGCGTGGAGCTGGAGGTTAGGGGTTTGGAGTTCATGGATGAAGAGGAAGAGGT